AGCAGCAGCAGCAGCAGCAGCAGCAGCAGCAGCAGCAAAAGCAGCAGCAGCAGCAGCAGCAGCAGCAGCTGGTATCTTTCTCTATCTGTGCACATGTCATACCAGAGGTAGCCGACCTAGTAGACGAATGCGCAGCAGCAGCAGCAGGAGCACCAACAGCAGCAGCAGCAGCAGCAGCAGCAGCAGCAGCAACAGAGCTGCCAGCAGCAGCAGACAGCAGCGCGGTGCGGCGCTTCCTTTGCCAGTGGAGGAGACCCTACACACAGCGAGCAGACTGCTGCGGTTAGACCTGCTGCTGCTGCTGCTGCTGCTGCTGCTGTTTGCTGTTGTTGTTGCTGCTGCTGTTTGTGGTGAAGCTGTTGCTGTTTCTGTTGCTGCTGCTGTTGCTGCTCTTGTTCGTGTTGATGCTGCTGTTGCTGTTTGTGTTGCAGTTTGAGCTGCTGTTGTCTGTACTGCTGCTGCTGCTGCTGCTGCTGCTGCTGCTGCTGCTGTCGATACTTGCTGCTGCAGTTGCTGCTCGTTCTGCTGCTGCAGTTGCTGTGGCTGCTATATACTCTCATTGCCGGTGCTTCTGCTGCGTCTGTCTTGTGTTGTCTCTGCTGCTGCTGCTTATGCTACTCCTGCTGCTGCTGTTGCTGCTGCTGCTGCTGTTGCTGCTGCTGCTGCTGTTGCTGCTGCTGCTGCTGCTGCTGCAGAAGGAGACAGTTGTGGGGTGGAAGGAGACGGCCTGCTGTCTGTCCCCTGCACAGCAGTTAGGGTGGGGGCCTCACCGCTGCTTACCCTCTCCGTCACCACAGGCAACCAGCAGCAGCAGCAGCAGCAGCAGCAGCAGCAGCAGCAGCAGCAGCAGGAGATGCTGCAGTGGCCTTCACAGCAGTATCAGCAGCACCAACTGCCCGCGTCGCAGCAGCAGCAACTGCCCGTGTCGCAGTGGTATTCTCAGCAGCAGCAGCAGCAGCAGCAGCAGCAGCAGCAGCAGCAGCAGCAGCAGCAGCAGCAGCAGCAGCAGCAGGAGATGGGTCAGGGCTCAGCAGCAGATCTCACAGAAGACGATCTGGCGGACCTCGATTTTTAGTGCAGCAAAAAGGAGACACACAAAAGGAGACAAAAAGGAGGAGACAAAAGGAGACAGAAAGGAGACAAAAGGAGACAAAGGGAGACAGAAAGAAGAAAGAGACAAGAGGAGACAAAAGGAGACAAAAGGAGACAAAAAGAGACAGAAAGGAGGAGACAAAGAAAGACATAAAGGAGACAAAAGGAGACAAAAGGAGACAGAAAGAGACAGAGGGGAATAGAAGGAGACAGGAGGAGGGGGGAGACAGAGAAAGAGAGAAGGAGACAAAAGGAGACAAAAGGAGACAAAAGAGACAAAAGGAGACAAAAGGAGACAAAAGGAGACACATTGGGGTGTACAGGCAGCTCCATGGATACACCCCAATGTCGCTGCTTTTTGTGCACTCTCTCCGCTGCTTCTTTCCTCTTTACCCCTCTTCAGCCTTTCATAATCCCAGCTAGCTAGCTAGCTAGCTAGCTAGATAGCTAGCTAGCTAGACAGCTAGCTAGATAGCTAGCTAGATAGCTAGCTAGCTAGCTAGCTAGCTCGTCTTTGGGCGGCTGGCTAGCCAGTGCTCTGTGCCCCCCGTTGCAACAAGCAGCCGCTCAGCTAGCTGGCGGAGGAGGCCGGCTAGCTAGCTAGCTAGCTAGCTAGCTAGTTGAGCTCCAGCTAGGAGCTAGCGAACTACCGAGCTAGTTAGCTAGCTAGCCCAGCTAGCTACGTACCACCCACATAGCTAGCTAGCTAGCTAGCTAGCTAGCTGGAGTGTAAACAACTAGCTAACTGCACTTCATCTCGGCCTGCGCCGTACTGCGTAGAGCCCCTCTGCAGCAGCAGCAGCGCTGCAGCAGGTAGGTGAACTCTGGCTGGCTAGCTAGCTAGC